GCTGAACCTCAGGGTGACCACCCCAAGTCCTCTTTGCTCTGCTGGAAAAGGACTTACTGTAGTCAGCTGGGGACCTGCACATGGGGGAGGGGAGCCAAGTAGGGGCCTCGGAGGGAAGCCACTGCCGCATTGCCATGTTTGACCTGTGAGCACTGACATTCCTGAAGTTCATGGTTGGTTAATTGCAAACAAGCCCAAGGGCCTAAGGAGGCCCAAAGTATGGTGGTAATGTCTTCTTGATGCAAAGAGATTCCATGTTGAAGACTAAAGTAATAGGAAAGGGAGAGACTGTGCAAACACCTTCTGTTCTCGGTGGAACTTGGAGGCCCTGAAAGGAACAGGGACTAACCCATGGTCACAAAGCTAGTTGTGGTCAAGACTCCCTGCTGTGGCCCACTGTCACAAACCATGGTGAGGATGTATTTATACACAGACATTTTTACTGCTAGCAGTCTATAGATAGTACCGATCTCTGTCACTATCTCACCTTTACAGTGTTCAATATGTGCCTGTACCTGTTCTAAGGGCTTCAGAGGTATTATCCAGCCCCATTAGTCTGCTAGGAAATCCTATGAGGCAGGGATTTTTATCATCCACATTTTCCAGGTGAAGCAGTGGGGGCATGGAGAGACTAAGTAATTTCCTTATGATTGGTTGTTGGGGAGCTTGAGCTCAGACCCAGCGGCCTGCCCTGGAGGGCCTCTGCTCTGTACCTCATGGCTTCCTCAGAAACCTTTGCTCCAAGGGCTGGGATGCACTTGAGCTTTATATTTGCAGAGAGTGGGGGTGGGGGAGGAGAGAGAGAAATAGAGAAGAATTTTGTGTAGAAAAAAGGTGATGAAAGGACTCAGTTTCTCAAGGAACTTTAGCTTGTGGTCTTCTTAGTAAGAGTGTTCTTGAAAAGCAGACAACAGCCATCCCACATGCTGTTCATTTGCTTCCAGGTACAGACTTTACTCCCAGCAGTCAAGATGAAGCATGAGGGCCAACACCATGGCACTGTGGTGATGTGCTGCTCGGAAGCCAAATCCCACATGGTGACACAGGTTCCAGGCCCCGGCCCGTTAGCCTGCAGCACACGGAGAACAAGCATGAGTGCCCAGAAGCTGATGGGCTGGAGAGCTGGAGAAAGGGGATTGTGGCATGGCCAGGTCCCATGGAAAAGCTGGAGAAAGGGGATTGTGACATGGCCAGGTCCCATGGAAGGTGCTTTTCTCTCTTTCTATCTCTCTTGCTCTCATACACACATGCTTTATCATGCTCTATCATGAATAAGGGAAAAAAATCAAACAAGATAAGTCATGAGGAAAAAACTCTCTGGTTAGAGGATTTTTTTTGCTTCCTCTTACAGATTGAGTATCTTCATAGTCTAGTATTTGGGGGCCAGACAATGATCTGGTGGCCAAACACAACACTCTGAGGCAATCCCACAAGGGAAGGTTCCAAGGTCAAGAGTTCAAGTCCCAGAACTTCCCTGAGTATGCTGGACAAGTGTGTTCCAATGATCCAGGCTGAGGGTAGATCAGGGCATCTATTGATACCATCTTGGATGTGCTCTCTCTCCCTCTCTCTCTCTCTCCTCTCTTTCTCTCTCACTATAGAAGAAATAAAGTTAAAATAATTAATAGTCATATGCAAAAAAATAATAATAACTTGCTAGAGGGTGTATGCCCTCACTGGAGAAAGAGAAAAGGAGGGAGAGTGAGAAAGCACCTCCCCCCATAGAGGGTTGTCACCCTAAAATCCCTTCTCAATTTCTCTTTTGGCACTTATGCACCCATATCAACATGTTTTCAAGCAACTGGGTCCAGGACTTGAATTGCACAGTTAGCCATGTGCAATCCTGTCTCTTTACTCACCATGCCAAAGGCTGGCCCGGAAAAGTAACTTTAAAATAAGAAAAGAGAAGAGAAAGAAAGATAAGGGCAAAGAGAAAGAGAGAGAGAGAGAAGAGAGAAGAGAAGAAGAGAAGAGGAGAAGGGAAGAGAAAAAAAGAAAAGAAAATCTGGTGTCTGGATCATTGCTATGTTAGTTATAGCCCCAGGGCGATTCTTACCAGTGTTTCTTTCCATCTGCTTCTCGTGTCTTTCATTCTGACAGTGAGGAGTTCTCAAGTGTAGCTGTACTGGCTGCCCTCTCAGGACAAGGCTTCTGTGGTTAGCAGGAGATTGCAGACATTTTGTAGCAATAATAGATAGAGGATTTATATTTCTGTCCCAACCAAAGAATCACAATGTAGTGGCAGCAATCATTTCTTCCCTTCTCTTTGGTGCAAAAAAATTATGTGATTATTTCTGGTTTAAAACTTCACTGCCTAATGAGGTGCACTGTAAAACTACAACCAAAACCAAACATTGACCTAGAGCGAAATTTCTACCTATGTGTTTCAGCTTCCAGAGTTGAGCAACTGGTGCAAAAGACTTTCTGTCAGCACGTTTCTAAGTGTAGTTTCTAAGGGAGTATTAACATGCTTAGTTTCGTCTGGAAGTATAATTCAGTTCACCTAGGCTGAGATGGTAAAGACTCGACATTGAGCTAGAACAAAGTTCTTTATGTATGTAATGGGGGTTCATGAGTGGAGTCTCTGGGCCAAACTTTTTGATATTCCAAAAATTACATGATTATTTCTGGCTTGAAGCTTCACTGCCTAATGCCCATTGAGGTACGCTGTAAAACTACCACCAAAACCAGTGAGAAGTCCACGTATTAGTACCTGTTGGAGCTGCGTAACGCCCACATTGGGTTCCTGTACTATTTTCTCTACTTTTTGAAATCTTTGAAATTTTCCATTTGTTTTGTTTTACTATAAATAAAAGGTGCCTTGTCCTTAAGGAAATGCTGAGGAGCCGGCTGCAGTTTGGGTGTGGGAAGACCTGCCCAACCAGCAGGCAAGGCAGATGATCCAGTAATAGAAGTTAGGGAGCTTTCTGTGCAAGGCAGGAAAACTTCTCTCAGCTGATGTCAACCAGCCAACGCGCTCTCTCCATTTTTCCTACCAAAATATGTTGATGGATGTCCATGGCACGCTGCTGCTGCTCTCTAGAACAGGAGTCAGCAAACTCCACAAGCCACATTTGTTTTTCTCAGAACACGACCATGCCTATTCATTTCTGGATTGTCCATGGCTGCTTTCTTATCGCAATGGCAGAGGTAAGGAGTTGTTACAGACCCTATAGCCTGAAAAATCAACAACATTTGCACGTGACTCTCACAGAGCAAGTGTCCTAGTGTATTCTAGGTACTTCTGGCCTTGCCTGCCGAGCTGTGTTAGCCAGTCAGTGATATCTGGTTCCAAACCTGTTTGTGCCAGTTTTATTTAGAGTTATAAATAGACTATTTAAATAAGTAGTGTGAAAGCCAGTGAGGAAAGCAGACATTGGTACAGTGGTGAAAAATGACACTCTGGGGACCAGCAATTGGTGTAATAGCTATGTCTCTGGACTCCCACGTAGTTGACCGCGGTTTGAGTCCTGGACTCAGTGGCTTAAACTCACGTGGAGCATGTGTGTGTGCATGTGTGCCCAAGATCCTGAGAGGAGAATAGAGGAGAAAGGATTGCAGTGTGGCCAGCCCCTCTGGGGGATGAGTTCTCGCTTTCTGTCTCTCTGTCTCTCTCTCTCTAGTGAGTGCATGCGCCCTATAGCAAAAACCTCAAAAAAAAAAAATGACATTCTGAGGCTGAGCCATATGGTAAAGTTACAGATCCACACCCAGAGTCCTCCCTGAGTGCACCAGGCCTGTGCATGCCCATGACTCAGGGCTGGCTGAGTTGGGTGGGTTGTGGCGTCAAGACCCTATTGGGGTACTCGCTTTCTCATGGGAAAAATAAGACACCTTTAAAAAGATGAAATAGGGCCTGCTCCATGGTACACGGGTAGTACATAGTTCAAGGGAAGCCAAATCCCACATAGTGACCACGGTTTAAATCCCCAGCCTGGTCAGCCTGAAATACACAAGGCATGCTCACGAGGGCTCCAAATCGAGCTGGAGGACTGGAGGAAGGGGATAATGGCATGGGCGGGCCTGTGAAGAGTGCTCACATTTCACTCTGTCTCTCACTCTCACTTGCACGCACGTGGACTCTATCGTAAATAAATATAGACCGAAAAATAATAGTGGGGCCAGCAGATGGCATGGCAGTTTAGGTGCCGGACTCCCACAGGGCTGACTGGGGTTTGAGTCCTGGACTTGGCAGCTTGTTTTCTCACTTTCCCTCTTTCTCTCTCTAGTGAACACACAGGCCCTATAGCAAATTAAATAATAATAATAAATAAAATTAAATAATTATTTTTAAAAACATGGGGGCCAGCAATGGTGTAGTGGTTACATCTCTGAACTCCCATATGGCCGAATGCGGTTTTATTTCCAGACCTGGTGGCTTGAAACTCATGCTGGGCATGTGTGGGTACATGCCCGAGATACTGTGAGGAGAATGGAAGAGAAAGAATTGCAGCATGGCCAACCCCCTGAGGAGTGATTTCTCACTTTCCCTCTCACTGTCTCTGTCTCTCTCTCTATGGTAAGCGCATGCACCCTAGGGCAAAAGC